CTTGATGCTAAGTAACCTTACACACACACACTTGGGGGGATTTTTTCTGTCTTATTTAGAGTTCTCTATTTTGAGGACATCGTCCAAGATGATCCAAATATCATCCTGGAAGATCAGTTAAAAATAGAAAGTCTAATTAGGACATTCTTATTAAGGCAATCATCATCAAGCACATCATCCTGAATGATATTTGTATCGTTCGGGATGATATGCTCAAATCAGAAAGAATTAGCTGTCAGATCTATTTATGTATTATTTATTTTTGGACATTATCCTAGATGATGCATATAATTATGCCTAAATTAATCTGGTAATTAAAAAAAGTAATTAAGGCTTGATTGATACGATCATATCATCATGGACGATCGTAAGATCATCTGGGATGATCAGTTCAAAATACCTTAGTTGCTCCTAGATGATCAATATCAGATAGCTTCTATTCAGGGCGATGCTCTAGATGATTTTCATAGATTTGAACTAATCGTCCAGGATGATCGTGAGATCGGCCTAGACGATCAAGCTATTTTTTCATCGTCCAGACATCCATTTAGTGCGATTAACTTGAAGATATTCACCAATTTGTACTAATCATATAGGATGATTTTATATCGGCCTGGATGATATGAACAAAATTCATTTGATCGTCCCAGATCATCCTGACTGATTAAGCTTAAATTACACTGATCGTTCAAGATGATAGAGTCGGTTCCTTGCAATTAATGAGCTATTCCGAAGCTCTTCTATTTAAGAGCCCTTGTTCTACCCTTTAGAACATCTTTTGCTACTATCTTGACCTGAGAGAGCCTAGAGGAGAGGGAGAGAGAGGGAGAGAGAGGGAGAGAAAGAGAGAGGATCTTGTGAGAGGGAGTTTGTGAGAGGGTTTCACAAATGTTGCTCCAAGCTTTGATCCACATCTTCTTCTTCCATCATAGTCCCTTATCCTTGGAGGGTTGAGAGAGTTTCACTTCAGCAATCGATCAAGGTTCTCTGCCTGCTTCAGGAGGAAGCAAAAGGAGTTAGGTTCTCTGCCTCACCGGTGTCGGTGGAAAAGAGTTTTGTAAAGGCTTCTCGGCCTTGCTATGGGAGAAAAAGGAGAGTCATTGAGTTTTAGTGTAATACTCGGAGGGCGCCTCCAGGGAGTGGATGTAGGTCGTGTATACCGAACCACTATAAATCTTTATGTTCTTTACTACTGTTTCTTTCGCATTTAATTTCTGCACTTTGATTATCATTGTGGTGAATTTTGGTTTTAATTAGTTTTTGTGTTTTAATTGTTTGAAAGATTTTTAAAATGCCAATTCACCCCCCTCTTGGTTAGCCTCGGGCTAGTTTATAAGGGCTTAACATTCCAAAAGAACTTTCATATCCATTAATCATCAAATGTGTGGAGTCCAAACTTTCTATCAGGCATTCCATCAAACATCCTACGTGCATCCTTCATGCTCATTTTATGATCAAATTCCTCTGACGTTTCACCTTCATAGACATGTTGCAATAGAGTTATCTTTCCCATACCACCATGCCCCACTATAGATAGAAGATAAATGTTTATGTACAAATCAGTTCCCGAATACTCACTTGATGGCTTCCTCAACGACTGCTTAACAAACTCCTTATCCTTGCCTCTATTAATGAGATCATTTCTAGGCAAGGATCCTGTTTCATGTGCTTTGTACAACTCACGCTGCTGCTCCTACTTTGTGCATTCTAAAAGATGAATAAAAGTTCTAACCTCAGGTGTAACTTTATCAAGTTTCTACACAACCTCCTCTAGCCTCTTCAAGTTGGGTTCAGATCCTTTAGCGACATTTCGTCGAACAGCTTGGGAGCATTACGTTGGATCAGCCTTGTCACTAGAAGTTAAACTGGGCATTTTCACACATGCAGTAAAAATGTCCTCAATATCAACAGTGGTATTCGCCGACGTCATGTATCTGTTCCTACCACCAGTGGTATTCTTCTGTGATGAATCGGTGGATGGATTGGCAGGTAGGCTCCCCTTCTACATCAGATTACAACTGTTGAAGGCCAATATGGATGTAATCTTGTCATCTGCTGATGGTGATGTATATTTTGTGTAATATAGCAGTGAGTTTCACAACGCTTTTGGCCGAAGTTGTAAGGGAAATATGCTTTGACCTGCATTGGAAGAACTGGTGCTTGCATCATCAGGACAAAAAGGCGGTAGAGGAACTTGAACCATGTACCCAAAAGGAGGAAGACCATCGGATCATCATGGAATTTGCATTGTCAAGGATAAAGATTCTGCATCTTTCTCTATTCTAGGCTTAACTTTTGCACCTCTTGACTGTTGCTTATGGGCATGGTGTTTGCTAGCGCCAGATCCGGCATTGGTTCCGATGAAATCTTTGTCTTGCTTCTCCATATCGAGTTGCATATCAAGATTCCTCTCCTTGTCATCCTACTTCTTTGAATCGTCAATATTTTGACAATCCTGAACAATTTCTTCGGGTTTCGTCCTCGACTTTTTCTCCATATTCTCCTTTTGTTCTTTTTGAAACCTCCATTTTTTGTTCCATCTCCATCTCCACAGATTTATGTTTGGCAATTAAATACAAGATAAGGCTGAGGACGGATTGCTCGGCAATCTCAAGGGTGGAATCGAGTTCGATGCCAGACATGCTAGGCATGGAATCAAGGGTAGAGTGTTGCAGATGCAGAAGCAGAAAATTGTGCGCTCTATCAGGTTGGATGCTTGGCACTGGAGTGGCGGCCCTCAAAATTGGAAGTTCTGTTAGACGAAAGCTGCGAGCGACGACAACGGGTTGAGTGCGAAATAAGGGATTAGGCAGAGGATCTCGCCATTAGGGGGGTCGCACCACTGGAGAGGAAGCACGAGCGGAGGGTAGTCATCGATTGCAATCGATTTATTTCTGAACCGTTTGCTATCCCGTGAAGCGGAAGTGAGGAGCGAAGATGAAGACGTCGGTATGGTTACCGACGGCATTTGAATTGTCCTTATGGATCGAAGATTTTTGTCTATCCGATCAAGGTTTTTGTCTACTAGATCAAGTGATGTCTTCACTTGAGCTTGATAGAAGTCTATACAACTTCGATCATCATCGACAACCCACCTTCCTCGGCGTCGATCGTCGTCGACCGCCATCTTATTCTTCAGCTTCGATCGTCGTCGACAACCCACCTTCTTCTACAGTCCATCGATCTTTGCAAGTTCCAGACTCT